GGCTACACCGAGATTCGTTTTCAGTGAGAAGATATCCACACAAGTGGACCTTGTTGGAGCATACGTAATCCTAAAATGTAGCATCGTACTACAGATGGCGTTTACCGCGCCATTTGTGGTATTTTCCAAAACGCGCTGTTAAGACAGCAGGTAAAAGTTGGTCTGTGTTCTGTCGGAACTGTCTCCAACTCGCTGATGAGATCCACAAAGATCGACAGAATACAGACCACTTCGAATTATTTTAAAAATATTATTATGGAAACACCCTGTATTTTGTTATGACATACGTAATACGTGAGTTAAATAGCGTGCAGTATATTATGAAACAGTACAAAAATTAGATGTCGTCTTTGAGATGTAGTTTAATACTAAATATTATTACGCATTCGAAGTGCATCTTGAAAATTGTTTCCCCATCAGTTATTTACAACGGGGGGAGAGAGGGTGAGAGAGAATTCGAACGACATCAAAATCAGTAGGATGCAGACATGAAACTTGTAGCCCGTTTCACGGAAACTGCATTACAAACTTTTAAATCCGGACTGAATATAACCGTTTCAATTAGAAAAGCAGCATCATCGTAGTCGTCTCCAAATAAGCAGCTTTTCCACTGGAGCGAAAACTGAATGGAACCTGATGACTGCGTGCACCGGATCACGGATATTCCCTTCATAATCCAATTCTCTAATAAAATAAAAATAATCTAGTCTATGTAACCTACGTAGATGCTACTGGTTTTATACGATTTTCAAGAAGAGCTCGTTTGTCGAATATATAACAAGAGTAACTCGCAAGGAGTAATTTGTTTCAATATACTACAAATGTGCTCACAGATTGGACAATCAATGATACATACGATAACAGAATGTTCTAAATATCAAAATTCGATTCAATTATAATCATAAACTTCTAAAAACAATTGCGAATTTACGGTATAAGTTTGAGGAGTTTGTTGTGACGTCTGGCGTTCCCCAGGGCTCCCATTGTGGGCCACTACTCTTTAACATCTTTTTTAATGACGTAATTGATACTATAAATTTTACGCGTATAATTTATAATTGTATTCAATAATTGACTCCTTGATTCGCAGTGCTTTCTAAGAGATTTGAGTTTGGTTGAATCAGGAATGGTCTGACATTATTCAAAATATAAACAATGTGATTACCATCTGCAATAATAATTATAATTATAATGTTTCTGCCAACCAGCTATTGCGAGTTAATGAAGTTAAAGATTTAGGCATAATATTTGATGGAATCAAATCATGTATGGACTTTATTGTTGGTAAAGCTAACAAATTGTTGTACTATTAAGAAAATCAAATGAATTTGAAAACGTTCCTGTTTGGTAATCGACGAATTGATGAAAAAATAATGTCCGAAATCGGCCAAAAATTGTGACTTATAGAGGCAGGGAACCCAGTAATACATACATAGCTGTAGCAACAAATCAAAAGAATTATTGTGTTGTTCAGTCTTTGAGATTCTCCCATTCAAACTTTTAACGTTAGTCCGTCCCTGGAGGTGCACACGTGGATGCACGAATATAATTTGAAAGGTAACCGTAATGACAGCTATGATAAAATTTATGTGAAAAGTTTGTAGGTGTTTCGATGGAGGGAAGAACCAGATGTGCAATATTTTGCATTAGTTGAACAGAAATATCTGTAAGTTCGTAATCTCTGTATACGTAACAACGTAACCCCCCATATAAAAAAACCTACCACCTTCTATATATCATTCACGAAACTAATATAAAACGAAATATCTTTGTTTCATAGCTATAAATACTAGACTGGGATAATGCATGTCACAAAAGGACGGTGATATTGCATATGAAAATCATAATACATACCAGTATACTTTCTTACAATATAGACATTAATAAATAGGATGCCGAAAAATGAACAGCTGAAACGTATAATATGAAATTAGTCTAATTTAATGACATAGGTGTCTCTCTCAATTTCAAACGATCAATAAAAAACTTTCTGTGACAAATAATTTATGACAACAAACCAGAAAAGGAATAATTTTACTAAATGTATTTATAATTAAAATCATCATTATCATAGAGTCCTAAGTCTTAAGACTGGTTGGACGCGCACCTCTACTTTTTCCTATCCTGAGCTAATTGCATTTCTTTAAAACTAGAAGATCTTACATCCTGTTTCTAAACCAAATCTACCTCTACTCCTCCTAAGTGATGTTTTTTCTGATATGTCTCTGAGATGCTGTCTTACCGACCTATCTCGCCTATTTCATATTGACCTCTATAGAGTCCTGTGTTCACCTATTCTTTCTAATTCCTCTTCATTTCTAATCTTCTCTATCCACGGTATCTTCATAATTCGCCTATTCTTTTTTGTGGCGCTCGCCGTCGATATTTCGCACCCGTACAGCGCCGCGTTCCAAAATTTATGATGCTGGACAATATCGTTTTGATCTATTTGATCATTACCAGGAGTAACCACTTGGAGAAAGTATTTATTTACGTTTGAAAATATAATAATGGTTACTGTAAAATAATTATTTGTACGAGGAACATAGAATGAACCGTGTGGCCAATCGTCTCGCACTACAACACTTAATTTGATACGTGGTACATCTACCTGCGAATTATGTAGGTGTAAATCATTTGACAGAAAATATGGTATTAATACTGTAATACTGTACTACAGTTGGCGTTTACAGCGCTATTTGTCGTATTTTCTAAAACGCGCTGTTAAGACAGCAGGTAAAAGTTGGTCTGTGTTCTGTTGGAGCTGTCTGCGACGCGCTGATGAGATCCAAAAAGATCGAAATCGCGATCCGCGTCTGGCAGTTTCCACAGAATACAGACCACTTCGAATTATTTTATTCGATTATGGTAACGTGCCTACCACGTTGAGGTGAACTACGCCGGGATTCGTTTCAGCAAGTAGATATCCATATATTTAAATGGACCTTGCTGAAGCATACGTAATCCTAATTTGTAGCACTGTATTACAGATGGCGTTTACAGCGCCATTTGTCGTATTTTCTATGGTATTAATAGGTACCATGTTCCCTTGCATCACGCAAATTTTAAGCAGTTGCTTCCACTCATTGTCAAGTCAATTTTAAATAAGATACATAAGTAATGCAGTTGTACAAGATAAGTATACCGGGTCTTATTTAAACAATTTTGTCTCAGTAACAAACGAAATAATTGCACGTCAGCGGGAGTGAAAATTTATTAAGTTGGAAGTCTCCCACAAAACTTAATGGCATCGCAGTGCCATAATTCACTCTTTCAAATTATAATGGAAATTAATTTGCTAGCAAATGATAAATTGCTCGAGCCGCACGACCGCGAGCAAAGGAGGAACGGATCGCCGGGCGAAACTTTGCTCTTTGACGTGCTCGACTCGCGCGGTTTTGTAGCGTTCGCAACTTTCAAAGAGCAGTAACTTACACATCGACTGAATATTAATCATCAACAACAAGAGACCTGGCCTCTTCCGACCGTTGCGAATTTGTTATCTCAAGCGCAAATTACTATCTGTCGTTACAGTTCGAAACAGATAAATAAACGGATGGATATTGTCCGGAAAGTGATAAATTTGAGCGTTAAATTTGGATTATATATTTAAGAAAACTGCAAACTAGACGGAAAATTAGGAAGTCGCTAATTTTCGGCATCTAGGGAGTCACACAATTCAAGATAGAAGAATCAGTAGAGATATAAAACAAAAGATAACGTAGGGTCGAGTCGCCTTTAACAAATGGAAGTCACTTCTATGCTCTGGAATACCAAATTTAGAAATTTAAAAGAATATTGTTAAAGGTGTATGTGTAGAGCACGATTCTACGGGACGCGGCGGAAAAGAAAAGGTTAGAAGCATTTGAAATGTGTTTCATGTGAATGATGAGGATACCGTGGATAGAGAAGGTAAGAAATGAGGAGGTATTAGAAAGACTAGTAGAACAGAGGTCATTAACATCATCATCATAAGGCCGTCAGTCCTAACACTGGTTGGACACGCACCTCCCTTCTTACCTATCCTGCGCTAATCTTCGCATTTCTTTTAAACTAGAACAACCTACATTCTTAACTATTTGCGAACAGTTATCTAGTCCAGGTCTACCTCTACTCTTCTTAACTCCTGCTTCTGCCTCTAATATGTCTCTGACTAGACCTTCATGTCTGAGAAGGTGTCCTACTAACCTATCTCGCCTATTTCTTATTGATCTCCATAGAGTCCCCAGTTCTCTTATTCTTTCTAAAACCTCTTCACTTTTAACCTTCTCTATCCACGGTATCCTCATCATTCGCCTGTATCACCACATGTCGAACGCTTCTAACCTTTTCATTTCCGCCGCGCCCACTGTCCATGTTTCGCAACCGTACAGTGCCGTGGTCCAAACATACACCTTTAACAACCTTTTTCGGATATCTAAATTAACCGTTCGCGAGCAGAGAAGTGACTTCTTTTTATTGAAAAGGCGGCTCGACCCTGCGCTATCCTCTGCTTTATATCCCTACAACTCCTTCCGTCCTGACGTCTCTGACTTCCTAGATTCCTAAAATCGGCCACTTCTTCTAATTTTTCGTCTCCTATCTTTATATTTGCTCTTTCCCTACTTTTCCTTCCCTTACATACCATTATTTTTGTTTTAGTTTTATTTACTTTCATACAGTACTGTTTTGCCAATACCGCTTCCATTTTATTTAAGTCTCTCTCTATCTCATCATGTAAGTTAATAATAAATAGGCGATATAGAAAGAGCTAGTTAGAGACATATTAGAAGCAGAAACAGGAGTTTACTCACTCAACGCACCGAAGAGGTATAATATCAAGAAGTTAAAACGCGTTCGTTTTGACACCACAGGGGATCGTTTTTAGTTACCCTCTTGTAGTAAAAACATCAAATCTATTTGAACAGTATCATTAAAGTATTTGTGCAAAATTTATAAATTGTTTGATGACGAAAAGTTGTCAAATTATGTCTTTAATTTTCCCGTCTTCATTGTTTCAGTGCTGCGCGACGATTTCCGCGTGTCCCCGGTGAATACCCGAGTGGCTGCCGGTGAAACGGCACTTTTGCAATGCGGTCCTCCGAAGGGAAGTCCCGAACCGCAAGTCTCATGGAAGAAGGACGGCAAGCCGCTCGAATTAGATGGAAGACGCATAAGAATGGTCGAGGGTGGCGGCAATCTCATTATTTCTGACGTGCGACAGGGTGACGAAGGACGATATCAGTGTGTTGCGCACAACATAGTGGGGTCTAGGGAGACCCAGTCGGCGACCCTCACGGTACATGGTAAGTGGAGGAATTATGATGAAACGGGATCTATTCAATTTAATTATTTATATAGGGTTATGTAGCGAGAATTTTAACGAGAAACCTTAACCATATTTAAATTTTAGTTCATTTGAAATTATAATTTTTGGTTTTCCCGGCGAAAATTAAAATGAACGTTGCTACCAATTTATTAAAAAGGAGAGGTCCATATATTAGTGTAATTTGCTTGCACATATTTTAAACAGATAAATATACACCTATCACCATATAATAATGTTACATAATATGAAATATTATTCTGAAAATTCATTTCTTGAATTCTTTTTGCCCACTACACACTTCCTCAAATTAATGAGGAAAAATTTGTTGCTGTTGTCACACACCCGCCGGGAATCGAACCCGGGCTCTTTGGCTTTACGCGCCAATGCTTTGACCACTAAGCTACGAGAGATGACAACAGCAACAACGACAAACCGTACTTATGTTACATAAACTTAAAATTAGTAGTATCTATATATGACAAATTTATAATGCAGTGATTAACATAGGTATATCATGGCGCCGTATATATCTATGGTTTATGGGGAGGGTGAACGACCCTTTTTGGAATTAGGTTACTCTTTTTGAGACGTCTTATTAAAGGATGGAACTAATTAACCCGTCTTCTTTCGAAATGCATGCCATCTATCCAAATTTGGTTAAGTTATACTAGTATACGAAGTCTGTTCAAAATGTATCGCGAATTTTGAATTTCCGCTGGTTACTATATTCGATTTTCGATTTTTTTTTTGTGGCGTTATGTTGGTACTCATGTCTCTCACTTATACCGACTGTTTTGGTTCGTCTTCGATTTTTGTCTATACCAAAAAATAGATCAGAGAATGTGTATCAAATTTTGTGAAAAACAAAACTAAGTGCGCGAACGCATTCCGATAGTTGACTGTGACATGGTGAAGTTACCTTGGACCGAAGCAACGTTTATCGGTGGTACAAAATGTACTTGGAGGGCCAAGAAGAAGTGAACTTGAAGAGCGTGTCGGACGCCCGAGCACGTCAACGGCAGACGAAAACATTGATGAAGTAAAGAAAATAGTATTGGCCAATCGTCGAATCGCCGTTGGAGAAGTTGCTGGGGACCTAAACTTATCGATTGGCTCCTGTCATTCGAGTTTTACCAATGATTTGGGCATGAGACGGGTCGCCGCGAAATTCGTACCCAAATTGTTCAATTTCGACCAAAAACGGCATCGTATTAGCATTGATAAGGAACTGTTGGACTCTGTCGGTGACCACCCAAATTTGCTCTAAAGGGTTATAAGTGGTGACGAATCATGGGTTAAGATGTAGAAAGCAAAGCTCAATCATCCCAATGAAAGCTACTGTACGAGCCAAGACCGAAGAGAGCGAGTTTTACTTACAGTTCTCTTCGATTGCAAGGGCGTGTTGTATCATGAGTTCTTGCCACAGGATAGAACGGTCAATAAGAAATATTACCTGCAAGTTATGCGCAATTTGCATGAAGGAATCCGCCAGAAGGGCCCGGATTTATGGAAGAACAAAAATTGGCTTTCGTACCATGGTAACGTCCCTGCTTACACATCGTTGCTTGTACACAAATTTCTGGCCAAAAACTACATCCTAATAATGCCGCAGTCACGGTATTCCCCCGATCTGGGCCCCTGTGACTTTTTCTTGTTCTCTAAACTAAACAGGCCCATGAAAGGACGAAGCTACGCTACGATTGAGGAGATAAAGACGTCATGGAAGGAGGAGATGAACAAAAGATTACAAAAAATTATTTTTTGAAGTGCTTTGAGGATTGGAAAAAAACGTTGGCACAAGTATATAATATCTAGTGGGGATTACTTTGGAGCGGACAAAATAGATATTCATGAATAAATAAATAATTTTTGAGAAAACACAAAATTCGCGATACTTTTTGAACTGACCTCGTATGCATATATTTTCTAAGCTTTCAATAACAATTAATTGTAAACATGGTAAAATGAGAAAAGAACGCCTACATAATACCTACCTAAATATAGCTTTCGGCAAATTGTTCGTAAAAACAGAAATTTAATTTCGTAAAAGCTTTTTTAAATTCGATCTGTGTTGTTGGGAGAGCACTGGTTATTTTAAGAGAATGAAAATAATCAACCTAAAAAATAATTAAAAGAAAACACAGCGTCTACAGAGATGAAAGGAAGCATAAATTATTTATGAAAGTAAATTTTCAGGTATAACCACCCTCCACTAGCTGTATCATTATTTCCCTGATGAAGCTACTGTGATAGCGAAACAGTTGCTTCGTATTAAAAATTGTGTGCCTATGTTTGCTTTACTTCTTCTGTGAGTGCTTGATTTTCGGATTAAATCGAAATAGTTGAAATAAATAAGTGTGCCATTATAGAAAATAATGGTGTATATTTTTGTGAGTTCAAGGAATGGAATACTTTATTAATTATATTATTAACGGTTTATAATAATTTGTATACTGTTTTTAGTTATTTTAGTATTTTGATTTCATCGGATATTATGCAAATATTAATGAGAAAATTCATTTTAGGTTTGCCATCCACTACAAACTTCAACAGGTTAATAAGGAAAAATATTTTTGTTGCTGTTGTCGGGAATCGAACCCGACACGTTTGGCTTTACTTATCAATGCTTTGACCACTAAGCTACGACAGGTGACAACAGCAACCACGACGTGGATGGAAAATCTAAACCGAATTTTCACATTAATATTGCATAGTAAAAATTTCAGTATTAGTAATTAAAAAATTCATAGTGTTTTATATTATGTAAATATTGGTGGATGAGTCGGACACTGAAAAATTCTCAAGATTTTTATGGTTATATAAATATTATTATTCAATAATTCTACTGTGTTACGAAAAAAATATTTCTTGGAAAAGCCTGAAAATTGTTATTTTCCTTTTTGATACATAAAATTTTATACTGAAACTGAAAAGCAGGATACATAAGAGATAGGTTTATTATTAGTTTGATTACGTTTATATTCACTATTCATGAACAGTTAAAACTGAACATTAAATTTCAACCCTCCCGTAATCTTAAGTAGAAAAGGATTGTTTTTCATCTAAATTTAATATGAATTTTGCGATTCCGTCTATACTTTATGATATATCATGAGCAAAGTTTTCATAAAGTTTTATGTTTCCTTCACCTTGTAGTCCAAAACGTCTATTACTTAAAATAAAAACCCTCTATAAATTAAACGAATAATTTGGGCATCGCACCTCAGTAAGCAGTGAAAATGGGTTTGAATCGGGAGAAAGTCTTCTATGTAACAGACGAAGAATTGCTGAATTTCCTAATTAAGGAAAATGCTTGTTTACAAAGTTTAGACAGTGTAGAAATATGTAAAAACATTAGTGTTAGTGGACCTATACTAAAGGAAAAAGCTGAAGAGTTTGCTAAGTCACTGGAAATCCATAATTTTAAAGCTTAACTTTAAACCCTTAGTAAGTAAAAACCTCAATAACTCAAATTTCCCTTGGTCTTTATCTAATCGAGGTTCTACTGTAAATAAACCCTGATGTAGCTCAGTAAGACCCATTGTAGAGCTTGCCCTGTTAAGGACATTCTTGATCCTCAAAAGCAAATAACTTCTATCTGAATACTTTAAGGGTTCTGATTCTAGAGGATATTGTTAATCCAAAAATAGTATTCATTTTTAATTATAGTCTCAACTCATTAAATTCTGTGTTTTTGTGGAGTACCTAATGTGCTTTTAGCGTCTAACTTTTATCATTTAACCTTGCATTATTGTATCCAACGTATGATCCACAAATGTCGATCTAAATTAATAGATACTCAGTTGCAGTACACAGAAATGTCGATACGTTAAATGAAGTTTGTTATCCTCCTTGTTACAGTGAAACCGTACTTCAACAAAGAGCCTCAGGATGTAGTGACAAAAGCCGGTCAGCGAGTGATCTTTCAATGCTCGGTGGAGGGTGAGCCGGTTCCTAGTGTGCTCTGGCGTCGCGAAGACGGTAAAATGCCAATCGGTCGAGCGCGAATTCTCGACGACAAGTCGCTCCTCATCGACAACGTCCAAACCTCCGACGAAGGCATCTACATTTGCGACGCCGAAAATGTCGTCGGTAGCATCACCGCAAAGGCATCGCTCGTCGTTAATTGTAAGTACTATCTACGTTATCTAATAATAGGGTTGTCAGTCGGAATGCTAGTTGAGTACACATTGCCACTCACCGAGAAGTATGTTGTAGAGGTTTCTGGGTAATTTGAACTCTCTGGTTCCGTTCAAAATACCCATAATCTGGCAGTCAGTGTGTCACTGTCATAGGTTAGACTGTTCTATTTATAACTTCGTACTAAAGGGTACTGTGATTATAATTTAAGTCACTTTGACCAAGCAGCCTGACCTAGAGGTTTAGACCATTGCTTGGCATTCGGGAAGGCGTCGGTTCCATCTGTTCCGGTTCCGTCTGCTTTGGTTCAAGTTTTTCTCCGGTTTCTTTAGATCACTTAGGCAAATACTGAGGCAGTAATATTCCACAGATAATCTTTCACTCTCTTCTGTCTTCATTTAGCCCGTCTCATCTTTCTCACCCCAACCACTACCCACCTATTCTCACAATTCCTAAAAGGAGACTGAAGAGGGTCTTCCGCCCGAATCCCGCCATAGTCCGGAGGGACCGCCCGTCCATCACTATTAATGAAACACACAAAAGTTAAGTTCTTCTCTACTTTTCGTTCTTACCGTGATCCAATCTTCTGCTTTTTCTGATCACTCTTTTAATTTTTCTTCAAGTCCGTTTTGTAATCCCCATTTCGTATCTAGGATGATCTATCTATCTTCTATCAAAGAAGTTTTCGTCTGATGCTAAAATTTTGTTGAACCAACAATTTTCTGTTGTACCTCGCTGTCTCGTTTACCCTTCTTCCTAATGATTACTCACAGGCAGATATTTGAAATATTAAAAAGCAGTCAAATTCGAACTTCTTAAATGTACTGTCAAACTTGGCACTGTGTCAAACTCATTGAAACTTTGGATTCTGATAGTTCTCGAAAGTCTTATGCTCTCTGCAAAAGTGCAGTATACCCCAACGTCATATTGTGCTTATGGACAAAGGAAGTTGACGTATTCAGAAAATCCCATGCTTCCTTTGACAGTTCTCATGGTCAGGGGGTCTGTCTGCCTAATTATAATGGGGCGAATTCAGAAGGCAACAGATGAATCTCAGGAGGTCTGAGCACCCGCAGAAGAAGCGGGGCGAAGCCCTGGCTGACCATGGCAGCTATCAAAGATGGCTTCATCTTCATCATCATCATCATCATCATCATCATCGTCATTATGATCATAAGGTCGTCGGTCCTAAGACTGGTTGGACACGTACTTCCACTCCTTCCTATCCTGAGCTAATCTTCGCATTTCACTAAAACTAAAACAACCCACATCCTTAACTATTTGCGAACAGTAATCTAACCTAGGTCTGCCTCTACCGCTCCTAACTCCTGTTTCTGCCTCTAATATGTCTCTGACTAGACCTTTATGCCTGAGAAGGTGTCCTACCAACCTATCTTGCCTATTTTTTATTGACTTCCATAGAGTCCTCTGCTCTGCTATTCTTTCTAATTTCTCTTCATTTCTAACCTTTTCTACCCACGTTATCCTCATCATTCGCCTAGAAGAGCACATTTGGAAGTTTTCTAACCTTTTATTTTCCATCGAGCCCACTGTCCATGTTTCGCACCCGTACAACGCCGCGCTCCAAACATACACCTTTAACAACCTTTTACGAGGACGATTTTCCTTAAGGATCTAGCAGGGTCCTTTCCTTTCCACAAAAAATTTAACATTAAGATTCATATTTGGTATGTAAATTAAGGCTAAATTAGTTATATTTTTAAAAATTCTTATAAGTAATAATCGATGGTTAAAAATAAAAAAGTGCCACGTTGAGCTGTCCATCAATGTCCAATGCCAGGACAAACTAAACGTATACGTGCAATCGTCAAAACGCTACTTAATCAGTCGAAACAATGGAACTTGTCAATCGCAATTCAGTTTTCTCGTTAAAGGACAAGTTATTTCGTCGTAAAACGTACAAATGTATTTCGAAAAATGAACATTGTCTCATTTGTATTCCGGACCTACTCGTTTTTTCGATTTGGCCCGTTTTTCAGTCGTCTAGACTAAAGGATTTACAACCGAAAAGCAGAATTTTATTCATTATTAATACCGTTATACCTACGTTCGCAATCGATATTATTATATAGTTCGGAATATACACAGCGGTTTAGTAATACACATACATAATTATCCTTTTACAAAAAGTAACAATATAATAAAACAAAAAAAACTTGGGAGGGCTGACTTATTAAAACGCCAAGTTTCAATAGCGGTTAGTGCTTAGCACATCTATAATTTTTTATAAATATTGCTCCCAGCAACTTCACCATATTCTTTCATAAAGCCTGCTCAACAAAATCTGGATTTGTTTAGAAATGAATAAGATAAAAAGAAGAGTGAAGCGGGAGCGACGACAATAAATACGAACGTCTAAAAGACCTCAACATAACTGAAATTAGTACATACAGTCGTCAGTCCTAAGACTGGGTGGGCACACACTTCCACTCTTTCTGATCCCAAGCTAATTTTTGCATTTCCCTAAAACTGGAACATCCCATATCCTTAACTATTGGTGAACAATTATCTAATCCAGGTCTACATCTACTCCTCTTAACTCCTGTTTCTGCTTCCAATATGTCTCTAACTAGTCCTTCATGCTTGCAAAAATGTCCTACCAACCTAGGTATGTGTTTCTTATTGACTTTCATAATGCCCTCTTTCTCTTACTCTTTCCAATACCCCTTCATTTCTAACCTTCTCTTTCCACGGGATGCTCATCATTCGTTTGTTCGAACGCTTCTAGCCTTTTTCTTCTTCGCAGCACCTTCCACGTTTCGCACCTCCTCACACCTTTAACAATCGTCTTCCAATTTTCAAATTCGCTATTCCAAAGAACATTTTTAAAAGCGACTCTTCCCTGCGTTATCCTATTTTTTTATATCACTACTGAATTATCTGCCTTTCTAGATACGGAAAATCAGCGACTTCTTCTAATTTTTCGTCTCCTACCTTTATATTCACTCTTTCCATATTCTGCTTCCCTTGCATACCAATATATCTGCTTTACTTTTACGTTTTTTCGTCTGGTACTGTAGAATTTACACACAGTTGGTTTTTATTAAACTAAAGGGATTAAAAGTTAATTTAGTTTAGTGTCGTTGTTTCCCTGACAACAGGCTTTCGTTTCAGCGCCGCCTACGTTTATCGAGAAACCCGAAGACCAGAAAGCAAGTTTGAACAGCGTGGTGGAGTTTCACTGTGTGGCTACGGGTAATCCCCCGCCGTCGGTTTTCTGGAGCAAAGAGGGTTCGCAACTGCTCATGTTCCCAGACACATCCTACGGCCATATCCACGTGAATTCCCATGGCACCCTTAGGATTCAGGGAGTGCAACGGGAAGACGCCGGATATCTCGTCTGCTCCGCTCTGAGCGTCGCCGGCTCCAATACTGCAAGAGCCTTCCTGCAGGTAATAAATTAAATACTTACTTACCTGGTGAATAATAGTTTTCTCTATTTTGATATAATTTCCACCAAATAGTTGTACAAAACGGTTGAAGTTGGTAATCTGGGCTTATGGGTAGTTATACATCATTTACTTTCTCTAGCGATATGCACTTTCCAATGTCTTGGATGCGTGCTGGCAAATCGTAGGTAGGGAGAAAAAAGCTCATTATACTCTCGACTCTTGTTCATTAAACATATTGTTTCATACAGTACCTGCCAAAAGTTTTGTTCAATCATGAATAGTAGTGCGAGTCGAAAACAAACGTTAAAGTCTTTAATATGTCTTCAAATATAAATAAACATCTCGTTGATATTTTCAGTAGTAAATGGTACCAATAACAGCACATTTGAGCAATGCAATTGTAGTGGATAAAATGGTCAATTTTTCCGTGCAATACTGTACGGATTGTACGCTCCTCACCGGTTAAGAGTTTGACTGAGAGTTGTCTCTCTGTCTTTTCTGGCCTAGTGCTGTTCTTTTCTACTTTGCGCCGGTCAAACTGAAGGTCACATCGCTACAGAAAGTAAACGAAGTATGGTTGTAGTTTTGATACGAGGTTTGATAAAAAAATTGTAGTTATTCTGCAAAATCGATCGTATTAATTTAATACACTCGTAGCAATTTTTGAACGTATTTTTCCGTGTGCTGTTTAGCTTCAGCGATTCTTCTTCATCTTTTATCTTCGATGTCCTTTCATGGATCTTTTCAATATCGAGAATAGGTAGAAGTTATAGCTTGAAGCTATAGACTGTGGGAATCGTCTGAATCATCGTAATGACATTGTTTTTGACAAAAATTCAAAAACAGTGAAGTGCGAACAGATGCATTTTTGTGGTTCAGTTGCTATGAATTGTTTCTCTTCATATCCGGATTGTTTTACTCAAACGGTGGAGAACTTCTAAATTTTCAGATTAGATCGAAATTAAAGTGCTTTTAGGGTCTTGGTTCTTCATAAAATTTTTATTGACACGATTGGGCCTTCCGTTCCTTGTCATAACCATGTTTCAGTACCATGTATGACCCATTTTTGCAATTTTGGATCGTCGGTTACATTCAGCAATTTCGGAGCAATGTTCATTCGGCGCTCTTTTTATTCAAAAAATTCATCACGTGCTTCATTCCAAAAACACCCGAAAAGTGTTTGGTATGAATCAATATGTCAACACTAACAAAAATATTTCAGTTTCTTCACCTTTCGAAATTTTCTGATCCGCTATTCTGGACGTCTCGTTCAGGGCACTCATTATTCTGAACGAGTGTCAACAACGACTAATGTTTAAAACCAGCATGGTAAAAAGCAGTTCTGGTATTGGGCTTACACGGATTGGAAAGTTTGGCTTATTTTGTATCAAATCTCGTAGTTCCACTTTCATTTCAGTATCGGTAAGACAACACCAACATTGATGACGTAGCAGGAACGGTAAACTTACTTAACTGAGTTCAGTGAGTTAACCCTGAACTGAAGAGTTAAACAGTAGCGGTCTTTCAGTATCCAAGTGGCTTGGCATGGTACTGAGTCAAAAATTGCATGAAATTGTAAAACAGGGACATTTTTGCTGTCCAAAATATCATGTTATTAAACAGATATAAGTATTCATGTATTATATTGATTATCTTGAAGAAAACATCAAAATTAACTTTTGAAAATTAATTTTCGGAGAAACTCTGAGCATGTTATACATTAAATGATAGGAATAGTAGACTTTTAGTAGAATATACCTCACTTGTCTCCAGTTTTGTGTTGCCTTGAAGCTTAAAGAAATACACGAGAACGTGTGTGTTGAGAAAAATTGCTTTATGTCATGAAAGGCACTATTGTCTGCTTCAAATAGCAGCTTTTATATTTCTCAATCCTAGAGAAACACATTAAAATTCAACGTGTTGTATTATATGTATAGCAGCTCAAGTGAAGTGAATATTTGTTTGAAAAGAAAGATATGTATATAATATAAATAAAAATGTCTCTCATACATTTCAAAACTTTAACGAATGGTTATTTTCTTTAAATCTTGTTATAAACTTAACTTTTTTAATCAACACATGCGTGATTGCTGCTGTAATAGTAGATGTTGCCATTGGGCACAAACATTTTGTCGACCTACAGTCAATCTTCCAAATATTATAATTTGTCAAAATTTGGTAGATGGAGTAGAATCGTCTTAGAAGCATGTTGTTAGTTGCCCAAAACTTGATAGAAACTGTTTGGAACTAAATTTTGCTCTTGAGTAATATTATTGACCTTGAAGATTTCCTACCATATCCACAAAAGAGAAGATAATTTTTGAAAGCCTGTAGGATTCATGCCAAAGATATATATAGATGATGGTGAAGTGTTGGTCGAGTTGGTACAATCATTATTGAGGTTTCGTTGTTTCAGGTAACTTCGGTTGCTGATTTACCTCCTCCAATAATTCAAATAGGTCCCACCAATCAAACGTTGCCAATTCACAGTATGGTGACTTTCAGTTGTAAAGCGTACAACCCACAAGGCGATCAGCCTAAAATCCGATGGTCGAAAGATGGTCTTATTTTCAAAAATAATTCTCTTCCAAAACGCTACTCGATTAACACTAGCGGAACTCTTCTTATTGAAGATTTGACGGTTGACGATTCAGGTGTTTATAGCTGTTCAGCTATATCAGAAAGTGGCGAGACGTCATGGTCGGCGTCATTGAACGTTGTTGAAAACACAAATTCTCCTTTGCATCGTAGTCCGGATCCGTCAACGTTTCCGAAAGCTCCTGCAAAGCCACGCATATTAAATGCAACCGAATCGAGTATCTCATTGACTTGGGAGAGTGAAGATATAGAGCCGGGTCTTGTGGGTTACACTGTGGAATATTGGAGTCCGGATCTGCAAACAGGGTGGGTGGTAGCAGCCCATAGGGTTCCCGATCCTTATATGGTGGTGCGTGAACTTAAACCCGATAGTTCGTACGTGTTTATGGTTCGGGCTGAAAATGCACACGGATTATCTCCCGCATCCCCGGTGTCCGCCATTGCCCGGACTTTGGCCAACTTCCGGACGGTATCTCGTACGGAGCTCGATAAGGCGAGAAACATGTTAACTACTAAAATTGTGGAACTGGAAAGTGCACGCGCCTTATCTTCCAGTTCGGTAAAGCTCAAATGGAGCTTAAGTGCACCCGATTACGTGGAAGGACTTTATATACGGTTCAGAGAACTTTCGGGCGGTTCGAACAATTACAACATACTTACAGTGCTCGACACTCGCAATGACGGTTACGTAGTTAGTAATCTGAAGAAATTTACCAAATACGAATTCTTCATTTCACCCTTTTATAAATCTGTTGAGGGGCAACCTTCGAATTCTCGCATAGTTGAAACGTTAGAAGATGTGCCTTCCGCCCCTCCTGACAGCATATCAGCCGGCTTGTTCAACAGCACATCCGGTTGGATAAGATGGTCTCCGCCTCCTCCTCAACATCACAACGGTGCCATTATCGGCTATAAGCTACTTCTAAAAAGTACAACTGTGCGCGCTATAACTGTTAATGCAACAACAACGTCGTTGTTATTGACTAATTTAACGGCCGGCACTGGTTACACTGTTAAAATTGCGGCAGTTACGCAAATGGGAATGGGACCATTTTCGGAACCGATGAAACTTTTAGCGTCTCAACGTAAACAGAGTCCTAGAGCTTTGGGACCATTCGTGCCATTCGTTCGACAGACTTGGTTTGTTGTTCTTCTAACATCAATTGCTTTGTTATTTTTTGCGGGTACAGGGTCTCTAGTGTATTTCAAAAGACGACAATCACTGAAGAAAGAATTAGGGAATTTGAACGTTCCTGTTGTAAGCACGTCGCAAATTGGTACCAAAGAAAGCCTCTGGATAGATCGCGGATGGAGAACTAACGATTGCGACAAGGATTCTTCGATTCCTTTGGCACAACGTCCTGCCGATTACGCTGAAGTAGACAGTAAGAGCTTATCGACGTTTTACAATTGCCGAAAATCTCCGGATAATCCAACGCCCTATGCGACTACAATGTTGGTACCGCCTCCCAGTTGGTCGGATCTTATTCCTCCTCCACCAGCCCATCCTCCTCCCGACTGTCCACAAGACAATCCTCCAGTTCCTCCACCACGCGGAGGCAGTACTCATGGAAGCAATGATGGATATGCCTGTTACGCGGTCTATGTTCCTAATCAGTCTGTAGGAAGTCAGTGTTCGCACGGCAGATTTTCGCAATATCCTAGAGGTGGTGGTGGCTCGTGCAACGGTTGTGATGCTCATTGTTCTCTTGCCAGCAGCAGTTCTGGAAAGAGATCGAACCCCAGAGGGTTGTTCCATAGCAACAGAAGCTGTGATAGGGCATGGCACACACAGCGGAGTTGGGAAGAATGCGAAAACGACAAACACTCCTGTTGTAGTAGTCATGATACTACGTGTTCCTGTAGCGAATCCTCCTGTTTGTATGCTGAAGCAGGACCTTCGAGCATTCCCAAACCGCCACCCGTTTGCCAGTCGAATCGTTGTGGAATGTAATAGATAATCGTGGAAGGGGACGATGGAAATATACATATCCAGACGTGTTTATTAGATCTGGTAAAATTAGTTCGACTGTTTTCTTTATGATCATGAGATACCTAGTCATTAGACGTTCTAAGTTACCAAGAAAACGTAATAATAATAATTAATAATGATGATGATAATGATAACGATAATGAAAACATACAGGTAACGGTCTTCCTGTTTATTAAAAAAACGAATAAATCGGTTTTCCAAGGTCATTCCCGAACTGACTTGACGTTCTGTTTGTACATAAGATCGACTATGTTGAAAACGTAGCAATAATCAATAGAAAACATGATGTACGTAGTCTGAAAAATGTGATCTGTAGCGTCTAATCTTGTAAATAATTGTTATGTAATATAGTTACTATAAATAGGTATTTTGTAAATTTTTTGTAGCTCCCGATGTGAATATTTATTGACACTTGTTATTTATAATAAAAAGTGGGTACTTAATTATTGTTTCCAAACTCATTTATAGACCACAATGGAAAAGAAAAAAATCAGTTTATTCTTGATGGGGATATTCTAAAAATTGAGTTCAGCTGAAGTATCTCACCAATGACGATATACTGTGATAATTAGATGTTACATCAACTTGCTTTTGAAAATCTTCTTCGGATTTGTATGTCACTTATCAAGACTGCGTATGACGTGCTGATGAGATCAAGTAAAATGGAAATCACGACTCACGAGGAGTCACACTATGGGGTGGTACGTCGTATTTTACGGTTGCCCCGTGACATAACTTTCCATTTCATTCTTCCTTTTCTCTAAATTTACATTATTTTATTCCCAATTGCTAACAATAAGTGGATTATTGTCCTTACAATTCCGCTGTTTAAAATCATGACAAGTTGCAGCATGTGAAGGTAATTTCCGTTTACTTGACTTCATTTTCTCACAAAGGGATGTGCATACGTAGCCATCACGGCTGTTCATGACAAACCCATTTCTTCAAAAGATGCAAATACATCTCTCAATTTCTGCTACAATTTGCCAACAACGGCAGTTTGAATAATAACGTTTTACGTTTATCTGCTTCTTGGCATCTTCAACTGTAAGTGACGTTCAACTTCTTCAATATCCGAACAGCGTTAAACAGAGAACAAAGGCAAGCCGCTCAATTTGGTGGAGTAATGGACCTAATCACACTGTAACATACGTCTTACCGTATAAGGGCTGAACGTCGGCCGATATATGTCCGGACAGTACGTAAAGGCTGTGATGCACTTCACACAAATACATACGACGTACATATTGTGTACACATGTGTATGATCTCATCTGTTTACATAGGATGCTAAGTAATTTAATTAAATCGAAGAGCGCTTGTAAGATAATAATTCAACTGTGTGGGCATACATTTAACGAACGGTGTTTTGGTGAATAAAACGTAATGGTTCAGGGAATGAAACTGATACATTTACGTACATACAACAAATTAATATTGTGTATGCCTTTACTAATTAATCTAAACAAAACTAATGAACAGTGGATTAATTATTTACCTACCGTTTACACTATTGTGTATTCAAAATTAATTACTTTCTGGTTTAATTGGCACATTTCATTATTTTTTGGGTTCTGTAGCAAGATTTCGTAATTTTCTACAGGTTAATGAAAATATGCTCGTAAATACGTGAAATAGTGACCTTTTATATCTACTAGAACTTTTTGTTTGTTTTTAATTCGGTTCATTCACTATTTCTGATTTTGAAACCCTGTTTCTAAAATATTATGCTTTAAATTTACCATTTTTAAAGAAGACTGTCAAAATTATGTTATATATATATATGAAAACATTTTTCTAAAATAACGCTTTTAACGTAAATTATTTTAATATTTTGATAGATTCGCATAAAATTATGGTTGAGTCCAAAATTAGCAAAGCAAATGGGAGATAAAACCGTGTAATGAAGACAAATGAGAAGATGGAATTGTGAGTAGAAGGTGTGAAAGTGTCTTTCTTAAATATGACAAATGTCACAATTTCCACATCTAGCTTCTAGCAGTTTTAGAGTTTCAGAAGACATCGTGGAAAATTAAAAAAGGTAAGTGTTCTTTTATAATTTTAAAGTAGACTGACTGCGATTTTGCATAAAGACTACAACAAAAATAAAACGTATGATGCTGTTAGTAACGTTATCTAAATGCATAAAACAAATCGAGAAAGTTATCCATTCAAAAGAAGACTTAGAGTGTAGATTTTCAATTTTAAATTAGAAATTATAGTGAAGCTTTTTCATAAGGGTAATAGGGAAAACGCTTTTTGCTATTAGGTATAGCCAAAATATGAAGTAATAATACAGGTAAGTCGAAGCTATTGTGCATATTCTTGCATGTGTATTTTTTACTTCCTTTTAAATAATACCTTTTATTCTAATTTAAAAAATGATGACAATAATAAAATTGTGTAGACCGCTTGGTACTTAACTTATATGTGGAAGGTGGTAGAAAAGAACATAATTTTATATAAAGGTCAAGAATCTTTATATATTTAATAGTAATAAAAACAAATATGCCATGACTTACGAAACTAGTAGGATGATTGCTATTAGAAAAATTTCAAATTCCAAATCGTCACTTGCGGAAGACTAATCAAGATTTCGCACTACGACTCGATCGCCAACTACCTCAGACGCTCGCTCAGGCCCGACTAACTATTGTCATACCCTTCATGCCTTTATCTACCTTGTACCCATTTCCTCTTTGTCGGCACCTTTGACATTTCACATCTTACCGCTCTTTTATAAGCAATTATGCCGCCGCGTAGAAAGTCGTTCGCTCATCAATAAATCAAAAATTTTATATCTCCAGTGCCTAAAAAAGTAGTTAATTGAAAAATTCAAAGGCATATTCTACTGATAAAACGTACTCTACATCGGTATATGAGATTTGGCAACACTTTACAGCTCAATAATCACGAGTCTAGGTTTTATTTTTAGAACTATTTTTGTGGAGTTCTTTTTTCAAGTCAAATATCATACCTTATTCATTGTAAATGTTATTTTGTAGTACGTAAAAGAATCTTTGGCAATATTTCGCATTGTGCGGAAGTCCATGATTGTAGCGTTACTGCTCAGGTCCTTCGTATTTCTTTATTTGGTCCACCGGAGGAGTATGCAGCTTGGTAGTCAGACAGGCATTACAACAAGTCGACAGGCATTCGCGATGCTGCATCCAGCATCCGAGGAAGTATCATATTATTTGTGTTCAGAGGTTGCCAAGCAGTTTAATTAAATTGACCCGTCGCTGTATTCATATATTACCATAGTGACAAGAGGTGTCTTTGAACTCAAAATGATAGGGAAACGGGAGAGCACGTGGAGAGATCCGAAATGGAATCCGCTTAGTGCAGAAATTAATTTTCTAAATTGTTTTCCTTTTGCAGACGGGAATATCCCGCGAGTTTCATTAGTTGCGCGACTCGTTTCGTCTCTCTCTCGTAAACACTCTCCGTCCTTTTTCTCAATCCCTTCCGTGCTCTACACGGCCAATTGTTGAACGGCTGTATTGTTCATGGACGATTAAAATGGTTATCATTTACTTCATTCGAATTAATCCAATTAGTAACAAGCTTATCGTATATATCATCCGCGATAAGTGTAGTACACGGAAGGAAATCTCTTATGCCTAACATTACCATTTTTATTTTTACTTAAAGCGGGGCTTTGTTAAAATCACTACGACAGGAATGGTGTCACAATGTTGAGACCATGTATTTTTTCCTATTTTCCTGATAAACATATTTGTATTAAATAAAGGCGATAAAGTAGAAAATGTGTTCGCGCAAGGTACTAGAACATTATTATTATTATCATCAAAGTGTCTTCGGTAAAAGAGATGAGGGTGGCGGTACCACCCCTACCCCTTTTTGGTTGAACTCTATAAATTGAGTTGTTTAGAACAAAAACAAGTGTTCGAAAAATTCTCGTGAAGTCTCCTCAAATTTCATCTATCCTAGCTAAGTTATGTCGTTAAATTAATTCTTCTTCTTTTTCTAAGTGTTAATTGTTAAGTGTTCATTAAGTTTGTCCATAGCTTTTTTGGTTAATGTACGGTTAAAAACATTGAAAAGTTTATTAGAGAAAGTGAGCTCTTGTCAAAGTTACAAGTAGCATTTCCACGAAACAAAATGGGTAAGGAGTCTAGGGAAAATAGAGAATACTTTCCATCAACTGCAGTAGACGCAGTGGGTTCCCTTCAAGGTCACGGAAGCGTGCTGGTTTCCAATGGTTTTCTAAAACACTGCAGCGATCTCCAAAAATTATGTTTGGACCATACGAACGAAATTTGTTATCAAATTTGTGGGTGCACAATATTTCCTATATGCTATAAAAACATATCCCAACAAGTCCCAAACCAATTCGTCGTATGAAAATCAAATTATTTTAAGGAGCGATGACAATAAAGAGATCGTCATTATGTACGGAGTTGTTATAAGCGAATTTCGCTCTAAGCAAAATATACAGGATGTCCCATTTACAATAATTAAAAAAAACCATGGCTTCCTGACACAAAATACAACAAAACAGTGTTATACAATTTTTCAATCCAGTGACAATTGAGCTCGCAAATCGTCTTTGAAATTTTGAACGTACAATTTGTTTCATTACGGCCCTGGATCTAGGCGACTAACGTTGCTTAGCTGATCTAGTGTGAATGTAACAAGTACCTATCGGGAAGAAGCCGAATGCACTTCGACCTTGTAAAAAAAGGGTAAAAGTGAAAAAGAAAAGCGTACCGTCTATAAAAAATGTTGAAATTGTCCGCCATTCGCTTCAATGCAATACTGACAGCGACGTACCCACTTGCTGCGAATTTTGGCCCGGATACCGGGAATATTTCGAATTATACGATAGGCATTGGTAAGGTAACTCACCCCCTACTGACGGTTGAATAAGAACCCTACTAGAATGCACTATCACGCTACTAATTGTCCTTATTGTAATAGTCTTTTATGAAATGACCACTAAATAAATAAACTAACACTAACAAACAAGTAAATTCCACAACAATCCAAAGCAAACTGAACAACCTGTTAGAAACTACGGCATTATGTGTATTTATTCCAGTCACTTCCAACAGTGTAATTATACGAGGTTGTATCAATATTTAGCTTTTTACATTTAATGAAAACAAAATAACCAACTTGGTCCTTCTGGACACATCCTTGTATTACTCCACGTGGGGTTAATGAGCCCTGTCAGGCAAAACTAACGTCAGAATGAGCAGTTTAACACATGTGATTGGTCAAAGTAGGTCTGCATCTTGTCTCAACTTTTACAACCATAACACATACATTTGTTTTCGAACACTAGTACGTTATGTTACAAAACCTTTACCAAACGCTGGGTGGCCAGGGTTGTTTGTGCA